AATTCTACAGTTTGCAGGATGCAAGATCATTAAACAAAATTCAAAATTGTATATCTATACACAAACAATTAACAAAATGAAAATAAATGTAAGAAAACAATTCTATTTATAATATCAAAAATAATGAAATATTTAAGAATAAATTTAGCAAAATAAGCACAAGCTTTATACATTGAAAACTGTAAAACATCATTGAAAGAAATTAAAGAAGACCTAAAACAATGGAAAAACATTCTGTGTCCATGGCTTAATATGAATAAGATGTCTATAATCTCCAAATTGATCTATAGATTTATTACAATCCCTTTTAAAATCCTAGTTACCTATTTTGCAAGAAATTGGCCAACTGATGCTAAAATTTATATGGAAAATGCAAGGGAACCAGAATAGGCAAATAAGATTGAAAAAGAACAAAGTTGAAGGAGTTACACTTCCTAATTTCAAATCCTAGTACAAAACTACAGAAACCAAACAGTGTGGGACTGACATAAGGATAGCTATATAGATCAATGCAATATAATTGAGAGTCCAAAAATAAATTCTCCCATTTATGGCCAATTGATTTTCAACAATTATGACAAGACAAATCAATAACTAAAGAATAGTTTTTTCAACAAATGGTCCTGGAATAAATGGATACCTAACATACAGAAAAATGAAGTCAGACTCCTACCTCATACCATATACAAAATTTGACTCAGAATGGGTCAAAGACCTAAATGTAAGAGTAAAAGATATAAAACACTCAGAAGAAAACATAGAGGCAAATCTACATGACCTAGGATTTGGCAATGGATTTGTAAATATGATACCAAAAACATGAGCAATAAAAAAAAAATAGATAAATTGCATTTTATCAAAATTAAAAACTTCTATGCTTCAAAGACACAATCAAGAAAATAAAAAGACAACCCACAGAATGAGAGAAAATATTTGCCAATAATATATATTATATATATATTATAATGGAATAATATCAAGAATATATAATGAACATTCATATTAATAATAAAAAGAATTTAATTTAAAATTGTGCAGAGGATATGAATAGGCATTTCTCAAAAAGAAATGTACAAGTAATCAATAATCACATGAAAAGATGCCCAACATCATTAATTATTAGGTAAATACAAATTAAAAACCACAAAGAGATACCATTTCACATCTATAAGGATAACTATGACCAAAAAGATGGACAATAACAAATGTCAGCAAAAAAGTGAAGAAACTTGCTGGTGAGAATGTAAAATAATATAGTTTTGGGAAACAGTTCAGCAGTACTTCAAAGAGTTAATCACAGAATTAACATATGACTCAACAATTTCACCCAGGAGAAATAAAAACACACTTTCACACACAAATTTGTTCACAAATATTCATAGCTACATCATTTATAATATCTAAAAGTGGAAACAAACGTGTATTAACAAATGGATGGACATACAAAGTGAGGTATATACATACAATGGAATATTTTTCAGCCATAAAAAAAGAATAAAGTACTGCTACATGCTATAAGATGGATGAATGTTTTATTTAAAACACTTTATTTAGGTATGATTAACATACAAAAATGTGTTTATTTAATGCATACAACTTGATGAGTTTGGAAACAAGTATACAACCATGAAACCAGCACCATAATCTATGCTATACAAAATTGATGAATCTTTAAAACACTATGCTAAGTGAAAGAAGCCAGTCACTAAAGAACACATCTTATATGATTTCATTCATATGAAATATCCAGAATAGGCAAATCAACAGAGACAGAAAGCAGATTAGTGTTTGGCAGGGGTCTAGGAGAAGAAGAATTGATAATAGGTATAGGATTTCTTTTGGAGATGATGAAAATATTCTGGAGTTAGAAATGATGGTTACACAACTTTGTGAACATACAAAAAACCTCTAAATTGTACACTTTTAAAAA